AGTACCGACGGTGTCACCCCCAGGTGACGGAACTGGCGTCGGTATGTTTTGCGATAGAAATTCCAATAGAGCTAGCTCATAAGCAGAAAAATTTGTTAAGCATTGAGTTATCGCTTCATGATCCAATTGGAGCATATCGGAGACCGCGTGATCATCTATTAAAGCTTGCAGCTTAAGCACACACTCCCACTGCGAGTGTGTTAGGAACTAATATTTCTCCCTGTTGATCTGAGGACGACCGCCGCCTGTGGTCCATCGATGAATCTATTGATGTAGTCGGCGTTGGAATGACTACTGGTGTCACAAGTTGTAACGGGAATTGCCCTTCCGTGTACTCACACTTTCTGAGGAAGGCCTGGGTTAACTAACACGACTCACCGCATGTTGCTCGCTTCCCGCGGGCCATTGCCTTACATAGAGAGGGGAAAAGGTGAAGTGACATGAGTTATTATTGCCAATAGACTTTTAACCCCCCCTCACCATCTGAAGGCTACGAGCAGTATAATAGATGTATGACTAACAGCATTACGCCGGCAATTTTTTTCCAAACCTTAATTTACCACCGAGAACTTTCTTTCGGACAGCAGCAATTTCAACGACGCAACCTCTTGACCACCTTAGAGCTTAGAGTCACGAGTTTTTGATATTAGGATAGTTTTAGAATTGCTTAAATAACAGCTACTATCTTAGTTACGCAACCGCTCGGACGTTGAGATAAAAGCATTCGAACAGATTTTACAAGTCTTCACCACCATGTCCGCTTAAGTACGCTTGAAAAATCTAATGCGCTTATAGCGGACATTGATGCGGATCATTCCGTGGGAGATATCAAGGATGCAATAATGGCGAAGAATTCAGACACGCATAAGTGCGACACAGCTAAGTTGGAACTCTTTACAGCTATGACGGAGGGCGGCGCGTGGATCGATCGGGCTGGCGTAGTTTCTGTGGCGCTTGATGAAGGTAGATAGATACCTTTAAGGCTGCGTGCTGATGGATTCCACACTTTGGATTAACAAGTTCATGCATTTTGGTGATAATTTTTTGATTGGCTGAAGGACAAGTTCACGTACTGGTGGTGGTTCCGTCTCCTGTTCTCGTTGACATTGGTGTAACTCCTTCCAGATTGCTGAGATGTATTCTCGACCCTAGCCGTTTGAATATATCGTAACTAACATTATTTTTTGAGCAAATCACACACCAACGCTCAACGCTCAATGCTTCATGCCTCTCATATCGGCGATAATTATATTTGTTGTTGTGGCCTCCGGACAGAAAGATTTAGCAGATTCTAGCCACCCGCGTTTCTTGTGTGACCTATTTGTTGTTGAATATTGTGGAGGCGATTCTGTCATATATGCCACATTGGAAGCTTGACCGTCCGAGCACGTCTATGACTCCACAGCTATCTTGTTGAATGCCTCTGCTGGTAATTAAGCACCCGTCATTTTAAAGTAAGGCAGTTATTCTCTAGCTCATGTAATTTTAGCTGACTAATGCCTTATTGTTCTAATATTTTGGGGATGGAAAAGATGTTCTAGCTTATTTTCTGCGCCGGTAAGAATTTTGCAATATTAACTATGTGAGCAATGATGTTATTTTTGGTCTGTTGTGAATCATTTCTCGTATATTCCTACAAAACAATAGTAAAAACTCGACAAACACGTCTGTATTCTTGTCGTTATGAACGACAAGCAAGAGTCGGTGTCCGCTGTAGTAGCGCTTCTGTGCTACTTTGATACGTTCCT